TATATATATATATATATATATATATATATATATATATATATATATATATATATATATATATATATATATATATATATATATATATATATATATATATATATATATATATATATATATATATTGTTGATTAACCTCTGATCAAAATACCAAAAATATTTGCTTTGTTTTTATATATGTGTGTTTTGTAGGTATCAAGCCAAAACATCCAACAAGCAAAGTTTTCTAGTGAATTTTCTATGAGAAAACCGATTTCCATAATTTCTTTTTCTTTTTTTACACTAAAATTTTATTTTATTTTGTTGTGCAAATCGATTTTCACAGACATGCAAATCGATTTACATACGCGAAATTTTGAAAAAAAAACAATCTTCAAGTTTGTTAATTTTTTACTCTAATTTTCTTTTATTTTAAAAATATCCTTGATTACAAAAAAATAATTCCCCACTTCATAAAAATCAAATTCCATCATACACCTTCATTTGATCACATGTGTACCACTTGATTCAATTTTTGACTCCAAAAATCAATTACCAAGCCTAATTTTGGTTCCAAACCAAACTCCAAACCACCACTAATCTCAAGCCTAAACTCTATAAATAAAGCCCTCATTTCATTCAATTCTCAAGCTTTTCATATTCAAATTCACCTTGCAAAAAAAATTCTCTCAATTCTCTCCATCTACCAAATTCACTCAAAACTCAATTTTCATAAAGTTAGTAAGCTTTTCATTGAAGCTTACTAACCTTTGAGCTAAACCTTTATCCAAACATTTTTTCTTCATCAATTCTCTATATCCAAGCTTGGGAGATTGATCCTTGGGGCTGAATTGAAGCAAGTTCTTAAAGTTGTTTTGATAATTTTCTAGATTTATCTTTGGTAAGTTGGATCTTCATCTTTCACAATGTGATCTCTTCTTGATCTTTGTGATTTAATTCTTTGAGCTACTTTTTTGATTCCATTGGTCCTAATTTCTCACAATTTGATGGAATTTTCGTGCTCAATTAAATTCAAGATCATAAGGTGTTTGATGAAAAGTTTGAACAAGAATTTTTCCTTTTAAAATGCTGATTTTCTATTTTTCGCAATGAGCAAGCGATTGCTCCCAGTGCACAATCGATTTGCACAGTATTATTCTGCGCATATTTTTGAAAATTTTGTTGTGCAAATTGATTTGCACTGGGATATAATATATTTTTTGCCTTGTTTTGGGGCTGTTTTGATTCCTTTCTCTTTTTCTACTCGCTTCTTTTGATTGTTGCTTTGGATTGCATTTTAAATGTTCAATTTTTCTTTAAATTCAATGGACTTTGGGTGTAGATGAAGTTGGATAAATATTCATTAATTCAAATCTACTGAAGAGTGAATTATTTGATTCGTTTTTAGTGCTTTGAATTAATTATATGTTTAGTACTTTAATCCACCAAGATAAGTGATTGAATTTAAAGATGAATTTTTTTTGAGGTTGAGATCCAAATTAGCTTATCATTCTCCTCCCTCTTCATCTTATCCCTTTCTTATTTGTGCTACATGTTGTTGGAGAATAATCTACATATCATTTCTCTAAACATATGGTACATAGATTGCTATTGACCGACCTCAAAATAGGTGCGACTTCTACATAAGTACACTTACAATTGCTTAATATAGCGCTAAATTTTGTCCCGATTCGAGAAATGATCATTCGTGGCCCAAATATATGTTTTCAAGCCCAAGTATGTTTAATTTGAAACCTTTGATCCAATAACCTTAGAGTTTATTGTTAGGAGGCTTTGATCTTATCAATCCTCTAATGAACATTCATAAGTTTTGAACTAAATGAATCATTTAAACATCGTTGATCATATGTTATCGCCTCGAGAATTTGAAATGAATGATATGCTTGAAAAAAAAAGCAAATGAAACTTGTTGTTGGGAATTTTTGATATTATCAATCTTCTAATGAGTTTTCAAGTTCAAGTTTCAAGATGGTCATTCAACTAACATCTAACTTCTAATTCACTAACAATTGACTTTTACTTTGTGTTTTTACTTTATGTTTTTATTTTATACCTTTACTTTTATGCACAATTTATTTTAGCATTTTATATTTCATGCTATTTTCATCTTAGCTCACTTGAGCATTTATCTTTTTGTCATTTTTATTTTTGTTCACTTGAGCTTTAATTTTATTTTTGAAGACACTTAATAATTAACTTGAACAATAAAAAAAATTTAAGGTTACTCGGACTATTTGGTTACTATTCCTGGCATAATGGAGTTGTGGACTTCTCAGACTTAAGATTAGAAGCCTTTGATACCCTTGAGACCTTGTGACTCTAATTATTATTTTGTCTGGAGTTCTTGGGGTTTACTCCAAGACATTTGGTTGATTTTCTTTGTGTGCAGGTTATTCTAATTATGTGCTTTGTATGTGCTCTGTCCAATTTTTAGAAGACTTAATGCATCTGAAGCTTGATATTCTTAAGAGGTTTAGTATCTTTGTTTTTCTAGTTTCAATCTAAAGGATGAGAATTCTACATTGACTCTTTATATCAAGTGTTGACTTCTTGTTGGTTAGACAGTTCTTTTCCCTAACTGTTACCTTATGTTTTAGGATAGTCCCTTCATCTCCTCTCATCTTCTTTAATTTCAAAAATATTCTCCCTCCTTTTCAAAACCATTCTTGTTTTCTAACTTGAACCGCTTTCATAATAAACTTAGAGTTAGGTCCATGTATTTTCAAAAAAAAAAATTCTTAATCAAATTTTAACCAACTTAATCATACTTTAACATTTTTTGTGAGACGACTAAAAGTCAATCAACCTCATCCAAACAATTTTTGTCACTTTGGCTTTTACTTTAAAATTTTCTCAAAAGATTAGACTCTCGACAACCCTTGTAGTGATGCAAGCTACTATACTTCTACGACATGTAGTGAAGGGAGATATTTTCCACTTGAGTGTTGAGCGATGCTTTGTTGATTTTAAAATCCAAGCTATATCCTCCACTTTGAGATGGTGCAAATTATCCTTTCTCATGATTGTAGGTAGTAAGTATGATTCCCACTTGGATATGACGATGATGTCTCATCTCTTAAAATTAACCAACACACTTGTGTTTTAAAATTTTTAAAGGAGAACTAAGAGTACCCTGATCCCATATTACACGGAAGATGGTCCATAGGCACTAAAGGTTCATAACTGCGGCGGGTGCAAAAATTATAAAAAATACTTCTCTTCTCACCTCCAACATCTATTTTTGTATACAACACATATAACCAAAATACAAAAAAAATCAAAGAGGTTCATGTGGAGTACCTTATATATTTAGGGTGCTAATATCTTCCCTTTGCATAACCAACCCCCGTACCTAGATTCTCTCCCCCTCTTTTTGGATTATTCGCTCTTTTCTCATTCCTTTTAGAAACAATAAAGCTCGGTAGCAATTTTTATTTGATCTGTGTGATTCAGTTAATCCAATGGCTTAGTCTCAACATTTCTACCGCTACAGATACCAACCGTAGTCATAACCCTTTAAGTTTTTTATTTAAAAATAAATAAAAAAGAAAATGCGCGCCTTAACATTAAAGGATTAATATATATGAGGGCGTTGAAGTTTGAATCCATGAAAGCTTGATGGTATCACCACGATTGGCTCCTCAACCGTTGTTATATACAAATAATTTTTAATAAAAAAACAAACATAATATGGTAGCGCCTTAGTTTAGAAATAACGCCACAATTTAAGGAAGAACTGTGGTGATCATGATATTGTTGTTTACACATTTTATAATAGTATTTCCTTGTGAGGGCAAGAGCTTCTAAGAGGCCGAGCGTACTCCAGACCATCTGAAACATAGGTCTCTGATGCACATATACTTAGATTTATTACTTTTTTTGTTAGTTAGAGTACCTTATTTTATATATATATATATATATATATATATATATATATATATATATATATATATATATATATATATATATATATATATATATATATATATATATATATATATATATATATATATATATATATATATATATATATATATATATATATATATATATATATATATATATATATATATATATATATATATATATATATATATATATATATATATATATATATATATATATATATATATATACTTTTGGATGTATTATTTATACTAAACAATGAAACAGTAGATACTTTACGTATCTTTTTCTTTCTTCCTCTGCATATTTTAAGTTTCTTAATATCATGGCAAGTGGTGCTGCCATTGTTAACAAGGAACCACCCTTAAAAGGAATCGCTTTTATCTTCTTAACTAGTTCACGCAATCTATTCTACCTAGAGAGTTTGTCAAGATTCACCTTCAAAGAAAAATAAAAAATGATTAAACACTGTACCAAACAACGGAGTTTTCATCTTCTAAATCGGAGAAGCAAACGGACCCAAACTTATACCCATATTTATCTAGCTTGTTTGGGATATAAACATCTTAAACAAACCCAAATCTATTATTAATTTTCTATGAGCCTGGGAGTCAATTTTTGGGTTCAAACTCGACCCATTACAAGATTGATAAAAATGCCGAAAGATAAACAAAAATGCAAATAATGAAATTTATAAGAAATCACAAAGATAAGAGTATTACTCCATGATAATGTTATTTGAGTTGACAAATTTAAAATACTATTTTTCTATAGAAATCAAGTATCATGTGCACTCAATTGTAAAAACTAATCCCTCGAGACTGATAATGATTGATAATAAAATGCATGGAAAATAAGATCGGTTAAACAATCACGGAGGCATGACCTTAATTGATGAGATTAAATAGTGTTTAAATGAGAGTATATACTTGCACTACTCAAATATATATATAACACAACCACAATCTAAAAAATAATTATTACATATACACACATAATTAAAACTCGCTACCATATTTATAAACATGTTCTACTAATTCTTATAAAAACATTCCTAATTAAGCTAGCTTCTCATGAAGTTTATGATGAACTAGCTTCTCATAAACTCAACAATGGTGTCGTAGATTCGAGATCACCAATGATTTGTGAGGGTGAGGGTGCTTGTGCAATATTTTTCTTTTGTGTTTCTCTTCCTTTACCCCATAGTACCGTGTATAAGCCACACACAATCAACACTCCTCCAAGTAAACTATTCACCAAAAACCAAAATAAACTAAATCAAATCATAATTAAAAAAATGAGCTAAAAGACATAACCATCATAAACATGCATAATATTTACCTTCCTAAGTTTAACTTCTCATCTAAAACCATAGATGCAACAATGGCCACAATAAAAAGCAATAGAGGGTTGAAAGCCGATGCATATAGAGGGCCTTTCGCTTGTACAACCCATGCCATGGCAAGAATCATTAGTCCTGAAGCTCCAATTCCCTGCACACACATCAAACAAATCTTCAATTCCTATATGATTCAAAATTTTCACATATCATATGACATAAGATTAATATGAGCATACCGAAAATGCGACAGTGAGAAGCCTGATATCCCAACCAAGCTTCCATTGATTCAAATCCCTCTCAACTATAAAACCTAAAATAACACATTGTATTGTTCCTATTACAGACATCAAAGCTATGCTTGATTGAGGGCATGGATATACTTCACTGATCTTAGCCTGAATGATGAGCCAGATTGAGAAACAAACGCAACTAACTACAGCACATAGAACACCTAACAATTCAGTGCTACTATCAGTGACATGTCCTATTTCTCTGTCTTTTGGATCCAAAAGATTGATTTTAAACGGCCAAATATCAAATTCGACTCCTTTGTAAAATGTTAAAACCAAAGCCCCTACAAGTCCAACTATAGTTCCTGCAACCTTTGCCTTTCCTGCAGGTGCTGCCCAATTTAATTTCTCTAAACTGCACATATCATAAATAAATAATTTTTGTATATTAACATTGGATTTAATTCATAGATTAAAATATTTTTTTACACTGTGAATCAAACATAATAGTTTGAATATGATTAATGTAAATGTACGTGAAATATTTCCTGATATATGGTGTTGATATTTATGAAACACATGTAGATGTAGTGTACTTATCATTCTAATCAATAAGTGTCAGAATACCATACATGTTTTTTTATTAGAAGTGTCAGTGCACTACTACAAATAACGCATTTAATATTAGACGTGAAATGCATTTTGCTTCTATATCTGAAACGAGATAAATAAGATCACTATAAAAAATATGGACTTAACACCTCGATAGTATTTTAATAGTGCATGGGTTCGATCCACATCGTCTGTATTTTTATTATTTACCTTGGTTCTAAAACAAAAACGAGATAACAAATTTATTATTATTTTATAGATTAAAAAAGACGTTAATTTATAATTGTATTACCATGGTTTTTTATAACACCGAAATAACATATTTATTATCTTATTAATAAAATCAAACATTACAATCTCATAACATAATCTCTCGATTTTTAATGTGTCGGACATAAAAACTGTCATAAATTGTATTTGTTACAGTGGTGCTGCATAGATAGATATAATAAATTGAAATAATTAAACATATTTACCCGAAGGATACGGCTAATACAAAGGTGATGGTAGGAATAAGGTTGTAGATAGCTGAAACAAGAGTTGCTGATGACAAAACCAGAGCTCTATAGAAAAGGTTTTGAAATAATGCTCCACTGTTGCATCACATATTTATTTATTAGTTGTTAATTATTAGTTAAATGAATTACACATTAATAATTAATAATAATGATACATACGCAAATAATCCACTTAGAAGTGAAAGGTAAAACACCCTCCAAGTCATCTGCGGCCTCTTCCTGTATAGTAGAAAGAAAAAAATATAAAACAAATTTGGTAGTTGATCTATTGTATATACGAGTCATTATCATTCCAATATGGTTTGAAATTGAATGCAGAAATTATAGATGTGTATTTGTTTCTAGTCATGCAGAAATTATATATATAATGACATCATTATAAATAAATAAATAAATTTTGAAAGTATTAAAACTATATTAATATAAAATATTATCTATGAATTACTCTTTCTGTTTTTTTTAATTGTCATTTTTTTATATATATTAAAACAATTTATAATTATTATTACTTTTGAATAATAATTATCTTTTATATAATACCTTTAATTTTTTAATAGTTTATTTAAATTTTTCTATCTTTATAATAATGACTAAAGGTAATTGACAAAATTACAACTAATACTATTTTAAACTTTAAAATATGATACTTAAAAAAAAAAAATTATAAAAAGTGACACTTGACAAAACGGATAGAGTATTAGTTAGCACTAGGTGCCATCTGGATTCAACTATAGTTATATATAAGAGGCAGCCCAACAATCATTCTTATTGATTTGATATGCCTACATATTCATAATGCAGAAAATTATTATTTTTTAAAACAATATCAATGATGGATGGATGTATCATGTTTTAGCATTTTAAAATATAAAATTCATTGTGGACTTAGATTATATTGTTGGTCAAAATGTCAAACAGTTATATGTTTTGACTATTTTTAAATTATTGTTATATAAAAGTGCGTTAATATAAGTTTAAAATTTGAGGATAATATAATAAACATTTTTTATTCATATATTCAGTTAAATTTTATATAAGGGTTAATTGTTAGTGTGTGATGTATTTTTAGTGAGAAGAAAAAGAGAGAATAATGAAAGAAATAAGAATTTATATTATTGAATGGTATAAATAATGATATACACTAGGACTATTTATATACAATCTTAATTTGATTTGAGTTTACACAACTTGGATTATATTCAAATCTAATATAATCTAATATTTTAACAAATCTAATTTAATCTTTTAACACACCTCATAATCTAAGTTGTCGAATATCTTCAAAAATAGTCACTCTGAACTATTCCTAATTTCTTTCTCAAATTCAAGAATTTGTCAATCTTCAATCTTTTGGTGAAAATGTCGGTCAATTGTGCTTCACTCGAGCAATGTCTTACTTCAAGTTCACCTTGATTTACTTTTTTCCTCAAAAAGTGAAATCTTGCTTAAATATGCTTACTTCTTCCATGCAGAACTGGATTCTTTGCTAGATTTATTGTTGACTTGTTGTCGATTTGCAATACAAGAGGTTTCTTCACTTCGACCTTTATTTCTTCAAGTACATACCTGATTCAAATTACTTGACATGAAGCATAGGATCCTGCTATATATTCAGCTTCACAAGATGATAATGCCGCCATAGATTGTTTCTTCGAACACCATGAGATTGGGGAACCAAATACTTGAAAGAAATATCCAGTTGTGCTTCTTCGATCTTCTTTATCTCCACACCAATCAGTATCTGAAAAACAATTAATTATTACTTCTTTGTCTTCATAATCTCGTCGAAATAGTATTCCACAGTTTATTGAACCCTTTAAATATCTCAGGATTCTTCTTGCAGCCTTCATATGTAACACTCTAGGTTCACTCATATATCTGCTTACTAATCCTACAATGAAACCTATATCAGGTCGACTGTTGCACACATACCTTAGAGATCGCACAATTTTCTTGAACAAAGTTACATCGACTTTGTCTTCCTCTACATTCTTCTCCAATTTTACATTTGGTTCGACAGGTGAGGATGCAGAATTCGAATCATCTATTATGAATCTCTTGAGTATTTCTTTGACATGATTTCTTTGATGTAGCACCATACCTTGCTTCGACATTTGAAATTCCATACCTAAGAAATAAGATAATTTTCCCATATCTGATATTTCAAATTCCTTCATCATCAGCTCTTTGAACTTCGACAAGTTCTCCAAGCTATTTCCAGTGACTAGCAGGTCATCAACATATAAGCAGATGATTGTTATATCATTTGCTACAACCTGAACATAGACACCATACTCATATTTGCATTTGACAAATCCCAATTCGATTAAGTATAACTCGATCTTCTTGTTTCATGCCCTATGTGCCTGCTTGAGGCCATAAAGCGCTTTGTGCAACTTATGTACTTTACTCGTTTCCTTCTGAATCACAAACCCTAGAGGTTGTGTGACCAGACCTCTTCGTCTAAAGGATCATTCAGAAATGCTGATTTCACATCTAAATAAAATGTCGACCAGCCTTGGTTGCATGTCAATTCTACCATTAGCCGAACAGTCTCCAATCTTGCTATTAGAGAAAATACTTCAGAGTAGTCGAGTCCTTCTCTTTGAAGAAACCCTCGAGCTACTAATCTTGCTTTATGTCTTGCTATCGAGCCATCAACATTATATTTCAACTTGAATACCCACTTTACTTTGATAGCTTTTGTATGTGCTGGAAATTCGACTAACTCTTATGTGTTGTTTCTTTCTATTTCCTGTAACTCTTCGACCATAGCTAACTTCCATTGTTTAGTCTTCAAAGCTTCGCTATAGTTAATTGGTTTAGCACCTGCAAGTAAAGAAAAATGAACTAATTCTTCATCTGGTGTGACTTCATCATCACCCACTACTTCATAATCATGAAGTCTTGTTGGGAGAACTCTATTTCTTTGAGGTTTTTGGCTTGTTTCAGCCACAGCCTCTTCGATGTTGACTGTGTCAGGAATGTCAGCAACTACTTCTTCTTCGACTTCGATTGGATTCTCAATAATTCCTTAGACCTCTACTTCATCAGTTTCTTCATCGAAATCAAAACTCATCAATGGCTTGTTAACTTAAATTGCTAGAATTCCAATCCCAGGTAGAATTTTCATTAATCACAATATCTCGACTCAACATGATCTTCTCATTAATTGGATTGAATAGTCTGTATACACCAATTTTATGATATCCTACCAGAATCATAGGTTCACCCTTGTCATCAAGCTTCCTTCTTCTTGCAACAGGAACATGTTTGTAACACATAGAGCCAAACACCTTCAAATGACTCACTGATGGTCGTTTTTCACTCCATACTTCTTCAGGAACTTTGTTCTTCAATATCTTGGTAGGAAACCTATTCAAAATATAAACTACAGTAGAAACAACTTCTCCCCATAAAACATTTGGCAAATTATTTTGCTTTAACATGCATCTCTCCATATCTAATATGGTTTTGTTTCTTCTTTCAGCAAGTCTATTATGTTGAGGTGTATAAGGAGCAATTACCTCATGCTCAACATCATGTTATGCACATAAATATTTAAACATCTTGGATGTGTATTCGCCACCTCCATCTGTTCGCAGAACTTTGATCTTCTTTTCACTCTGGTTTTCGACAAGTATCTTGAATCTCTTAAATATTTCGAATACTTCGTCCTTTTGTTTGATCACATAGATCCTCAACTTTCTACTAAACTCATCGATAAACGAAACAAAATATATGTTTCCACCAATTGTATGTTCTTCGAATGGACCACATACATCTGAATGTATCACTTCGAGTATGCAAGATGATCTCATTGGCATAGACGAAACGAGAGAATTTTTGGATTGCTTTCCTACTAAACAACCTTCACAAAGTTTTTCAGGCATCTCAAGACTTGGAATTCCAGTAACCATATCTTGAGTAATCAGTTGATTGAGTGATTGAAAATTCAAATGTCCAAACCTCAAATGCCACAACCAACTATCCTTGTGGTCAACAACAATTTTCAAACATTGAACTTCAGCTGAAGTAATCATAGTCTTAAATGTCTTGTTCTTCGATAATGGAGATTCTAAGACTAAATTGTTCTTGGTGTCGAACAATTTCAAAACTCCATCTTTTATGACAACTGAGAAACCTTTCTCGACTAGTTGTCCAACACTTAGCAAGTTGCACTTTATTCCAGGTACATAAAACATATCTTTGATCATAGCTTTCCCTCCATTACTCATTTGAAAGACTATATTTCAAGTACCTTCTGCTTGCAACGAGCTATTATCATCAAGTTTTACCTTGCTCTTCTTCGACTCGTCAAAATCTTCCAACCACTCCTTTCTACCAGTCATGTGGTTCGAGCAGCCTGAGTCGAGAAATCAGATTTTAGATTCGACATGGTTATCTGCAACTGCAACCATAACCACCATACCATCTTCAGAATCATCTGAATCTTGGCGTGCAAGGTTCGCACCTTCGTCCTTTCCTGTCGATCCATTGTCTTTTCTGTACCAACAATTCTTGGCTACATGACCCAATTTTTCATAGTTATAGCACTGCACACCTTTTTTATCTTCTTTATCCTTTCGATAGTTTCCTCCTCTTCCTTTCAAGGATTCAGAAGCTCTATCTTCGACCCGATATTTGTGAGGTTTCGACCAAGACTTCTTGCCCTGAGTCTTGTCGAACTTGCTTTTGAATTTGTTGGAACCACCATCCTTTTTCCATGACTGAGCTTGCAGAGCCAGTATCGAGTCTTACACTTGTTTCCTTTCGACAATCCTCATCTCATGCGCCTCCAACGAACCAATCAAATCTTCCACTTTAGTGGTTTCAAGATTGTTGGATTCTTGAAAAGCTACGATAACGTGATCAAAGTGAGAGGTCAAAATTCTCATTACCTTCTCAACTATCATCTTACCAGTTATGGTTTCACCACAACCCTTCATGAGATGGACGAGTTTTTGAACCTTCGACACGTATTCTGTAACTTTTTCATCTTTTCTCATCGACAACAACTCATATTGTCGATGCAAAGTTTGTAACTTAACAACCTTGACTTTCTCACCTCCTTAGTAATACTTCACCAGAATATCCCATGTCTCCTTCGTCGTTTCAGCATGAGAGATTCTATCGAATTAGCAGCATCGATTATCGTCTGAATGCAATAAGCAGCCTTACAATCTTTCTTCTTGATTTTGTTGTGGACTTTTTTCTGTTCGTTAGTGGCATTTGCAGCCAACATAGGAACGCCGTCAGTAACCACTTCTAGAGTTTCATGGAAGCCAAACAAGAATTGCATCTGTTTTTTCCATCGGATCAAATTTTTGCCGTCAAGTATTGAAAGAGAATTTGGAATGCCTTTATCACTAGCCATCTTCGCAGCGGTTGATTCACTTGTCTTAGAAACACGATCTCTGGCGTGAAATTCTTGAAAACTCGATCAAGAACAATAACCGAAAGCTCTGGATATCAATTTGTTAGTGCGTGAGACACTTTTAATGAGGAGAGAAAGAGAGAATAATAAAGAAAATAAAGATTTGTATTATTGAATCGTACAAATAATGATACAGACTAAGATTATTTATATCAATCCTAATTGGTCTTGGGCCTACACAAGTTAAATTATATTTAAATATTAAATCTAATCTAATTTAATATTTTAATAAATCTAATTTAATATTTTAAATATGTTAGTTTGTTAAAGTGAAAAAAAATTAAATGCTATAACCTATAAATTTTATATAGTTATAAGAGTGGAAAAGGAAGAAAAAACTATAAAATATATGTTATAACTTAAAACGCTAATTGAAATAGGATTTGAAAAATAGATTATTAGTTAGTAAATAGAATATAAGCTCGTAAATAAGCTATTACTAAAAGACTATAAATTATAAACTCAAAATATATAATATCAAACTAAACCATAATGAACAAAATTTCAATTTTAGTTCTTTTTAAAAGGTTTAATCTATTTAAGTGAATTCTGATTGGATCTGAGGCTGAACTATTACCACCATTTTAGTAATAAGATGAATAAATTTTCAATAGTAACCTCTTAAATAATAATATTGTTGGACTATATTATACACTCAATCAATTTTAATAATAAGGCAAGTAAAGTTTTCTATTCAAGAAACAAATTAAGGTTCAAAGTAATCTTATACTTACCTTTCAAAAATAAGAGCAAGAGGAATAGTGGTAATGGCAGCAAAGGCAAGGCGATAGGCTGCAATGACAATGGTACTCATTCCATTAAAAATGGCAAGTTTGTAAAGAACATTGCAAGCTGAAAATACCATTTGCACCAAAACCATTAACAAAGCTGGCTTGAACATATCCCACATACTTCCCATCTTCTAGCTGCAATGCAATATGCTGCTATGATTTAAGGACTATCTATATATACACATTTGAGGAAGGGAAGTTGGGTTCAAACTATTCACAATAATTCATGCCACTTGTGTTGTGTTAACAATATAAAAATGAAAATAATCTAAAGGAAATCAAGTATAATACGTCTCATGTGTCCCACAATCATAACTAGAAAGACTGAAATTTTCGAAAATTGTTTTATTGACTTGAAAAATTGATAGTAACGAAAAAAGAAGGTTAACTTGATTTGGAAAAATATAATAAAAATTAGGTTAAATTCCCTTTTTAGTTTTATATTTTTGACTAACTTATGAAATTAGTCTTTTTATTTAATTTTAAATAATTTTGATACGTTGAATAAAATTTGAGAGAAGACCTAGTAAAATCACACAAAATTTAGATTAATTTAATCAGATCAAATCCATATATTTTAAACATGTAAAAGCAACGACACAACATTTATTCCATTTCAGTTACACTTTACATTACAATTCTGTGTATTACTTTGCAAAAAAAAAAGTTTTTTAATCTCTAAGGGAAACGATATTCTCAGCTCTAAGCATCTAGTTAGACGTACATACTCCTTAAAAATATGCGGATGGGAGTGAAAATACTTTACTTGCTGCAAGACATTCTCAAAGGACTCTGAAACAGATGTAATACTAGCAACATATGATTCATTTAAACTCTGAGCTAAGGAGGCATTCTTAAGACACGAGTTTTAAAGATTCACCATAGAAGCAGAGAGATTCCTTCGTAGTAGATAAAATGGCACGCGTAGAATCCAAATCTTTACCTTTCATCGATAGCCCCTCACTAAGAATGTTATCTAATATGCTAAGGAACCAGAAATATTGAGAGCACTCCAGGCATCTCTTATCCTAGTAAGAAAAATATAAGCTTTCTGTAAGTATGTATCTCGTTGAAGCATCAAGCTAAGAATAATATCCTCCAGTAGACACTTCTCTTTGAGTCGTCAATCGGACAGGAGATCATCCTAATTATTATCTCCTCCAACTTCTAAAATTTTAGAAGCACGTTGGGTATAATACACGAAATTTGATAGCTCTTTCTCAAGAACCTCGTCGGTTTGGTTGGTAAGGTAAGAGCAATCTTCTTCTAAAGAGCGTAAGAGCCTGAGGAGCAAACACATGTGACAACCTCATGGATCATTAAAAACACCAACTCCTCCATCATATACCGAGGGAGAAGGAGCACTAACCGACTTCGAAATGTTTGGCGAATCCGTAACAGCCAGGGTGGGACGAATTCCTCTTAATTGGCACATTTCATCCTCATTCTTTATCGAATATGAAAATAATAATCACCAAAGTTTAGAACATTACAAATAACCGATGTGACGAAAGGGGGAAAGAATGTCTAAAAATCACTAAAATGACCTTCCCTTACTCCTTGGTGCGAGCATCCATCAGCAAGTATGTTTCAATTATTCATTTCACATGTTTCCGTGAAGTCTTATTCTGGGGAATGACACCCATCTCATAACCCAACTCCTTAACTAAAGTAACTAACCATTTATTTAGATAAAGTTCCTCTTATGATAGATCGCCCTCTTTGTAGACATGCAATTCATTCCTCCTCAGTAAATGACATTTGTTCTAGTACTTGTGAAACAAACCAGTACACCCGTCCCCCACCCATAACCCTATGGTACTCACAGTTGTATGAGTCTCTTTATGCAGAGGGATAACTAAGAAGAATTAATTTTTTAGATGCTTCAGGCTCTCCGAAAACATTTTGAAGCTACAAATAACCTGCACCAGGTTAATCAACCCATGGACTCTCGTCAGAGTCGCATAACTATGTTGTTCCTTGAAGAGATGGAAAGAAGGGATAATGAAGGTTTTTCCCTTTAATATTCGCACTATAATTGGTAAAATTTCTAGCTCGCAGGGTCTAGCTGCGAAGGAACAACCATTAAATGATTCAAAAGTTCTATTTTAAAATTGTTGAAGGGCGAGCAGAGTCCAATTATTTAAAAGGCACATTCATAGAAGGGAATGTTGCATTCGTGATACTCGCTTAAAATTCTCTTATCTTCGTCAGGGGTTAACACGCCCTAATCCGAAGAAGGACCTAAGTCTATAACGGCTTCGTAAAGGCTACCCTATCGAACAAAGATAAAAACCATCAACAAAACAAAATGATCAATGTAGGAAAGTGCAATATCTTCTTTCAATTTTTGGCTCTTAGTAGACATAACTTTCTTCAGTTATAGAAATATAATATGTTGTAGAAATGCACGTGATGAAGAAACAAAGGTATTGCCTTTAGAAATTGCAAAACTGACTCTTTAAGAATCGTGCGATGACTTGTAAAAAAGTAATAAGCATTATCAACGCTCTAGATAGCCTCATGAAGACACTTGAGTGTTTCAGTTTCTAAAGTTTAGTATGATGGAACCTACGAAAAGAAGTTTTTGGCATAGGGGACATTTAAGGCGGAAGTTCCAAGGATATTGATGTCACCTCTTGACATTCCATTAAAACCAGAATTAGGGATGGAAATTGTATCCTTCAATGGGTGCCCGCAAAAAATACCCACTACAGATAAGGTAAAAATATGCAAAATGTGTACGAGCACGGACATGGATAATTACTCATTAAAATAAACGGACATGGGTGCGGGTACGGGTACCTTAGAAGTTAGTACCCATTTTGTCCCATGTCATCCTTATATATATATATATATATATATATATATATATATATATATATATATATATATATATATATATATATATATATATATATATATATATATATATATATATATATATATATATATATATATATATATATATATATTTTATATATTTTAATTTATATCATATAAAAATATATGTCTATCTCTTTAAAAAAATAGATCACAATTAAACTATTAAACATTTTAATATAAGTGTTTGTTTGATATATAATTCAACAATAATTTTTTTGATTTTTTTTGTTAATTTTGTTAAAAATTTAAAACAATTTGATATTTTTCAATTTATAGATTTTTTTTTACAAGAATTACGAGTTACGGGTACGAGTAAGAGTATTTAGGTACCCATACGGTACGAGCACGAGTATAAAGGTTGGCGTCCACGCGGGTATGAATACGGGTACAGGGACTTTTTCAAACTGCATGTATGGGGACAAGTACTATAGTATCCTACTCAAACCCTACCATTTGTCATCCCTAACCAGAATGCAGTAGGAACGAATGGGCAGATAGGACAAAACCCTCACACTGCCAAACAAATATAAGGATTTGAGGGCAACTGTTTTAGACCGGCTGGAAGAGACAGTAGGCTTGGCCAAAAGAAAGTCATGATTCGTTCAACTATCTTGGAGAAGAGCATAGGAGATCCGTGTTTAAGATACATCAAACGACTCCCCATATTTCTCGCTTTAAAGATAGTTGATGGTTACAACTTCTCCTTTATATAAATGAAGAGCGTGTTATTCTCAGGTACAAAATTTCAATTTCAAAAATTTTATACTATTCTATTTCACCTACTGACTTGAGCATTGGTATGCTAATCTTACAGGTTAGTCCCTCCGTTACCACACTCAAAATTTAAGTCTACTATAACATGTCACAACACCGTCCTTCGATCAATTCTAGTTCCATAATAAAACAAACTTAGATATTTTATTCAATTATAGTTTTCTTTTAAGTTGTTAATTTTCAAATAAAATTTGTCATTAGAGATAGAACTCCAAACCAACAACTTACTATAACTCAATTAATGTAAAATATATGAATTATTCCATTCACCTTTATTTAATCGTAGTTTAATGATGTCAAATATATTATAAAATCATGTTTATTTATTTCCTGAATAATACAACTAAAATTGTATTAATAATAATACATATACTAAAATATAAAATATGATGACATCATCATAAACAAATAAATATTGAAAATAATTTTTTAAACAATGAAATGTTATATCAAAAAGAAATAATATTAAAATATTAAAAATATATTATCATAAAAAATAGTATATCAATTGAACTAATACAACTTGGATCCAATCATTGTTAAAAGTAAGAAGCAGCCCAACAATCTACTGTGCAAGAAAAATATCTTATTGAACAATAATGATGCCAATGATGGGAGTATCATCTTTTAACATTTTCAATTGTGACGAAATCGTCAGTGTTGACCGTAACTAGTTCAAGATAAAATGGATTTAGACTGTATTGTTGGTCAAAATGTCTAAATATAACATTTTGTCTATTTTAAAATAATTACTATTTAAAGTGTGTGGATACTACAGATTTTAGAAATAATAATAAAGAAATAAATAAGTGTAACAATTTTATAAAACTCTCTTTATTATAACCAGAGAGATTTTAAGTAAGTGGACAATTAAACTAATATACTTTTACACGTATACTCGGTTAAATTTTATAAATGTGTCAATTTTATAAAATAATTTGCAAAATATCTTATTAAATATTAATAAGACGTGATTTAATTGAATGTAGATTTAAAAAATATTTAATTGTTATGGGAAACAATCAATCATTAATAATTATTATAAATTTATTTATATGATGATATATAATGACATTAATTGAAATAAATTAATGAATAGTTCTTTGAAAAACTAAAATGATATTTTGTTAGAATGAAATTGTCTTTCTAAAAGCACAAAATGTTGAGTATGGAAGGGAATTGTCGATACTCAAGGATGAATTAATGGATATCTCTAACTATTATTTTGAGCAGACGAAGGAGTATATATCCTTTCTATATATTGGGTTGGACTTGAGTCAAATGAACCTGTTTAAATTTAACAGTGACGGCTAGTTGGAGGATGACAAGAAGGTTTCTCTCTCGAGAAAGGTCGGGGTGTTGCCTGGTTAGGCTGTTAAAACTGAGCATAAGGGCCACAAGGCGACGGAAGACATTCCATAGGGAAGCGTTAGACGCCAAGAGAGTGCTTTGGAGGAATAGTGGGATCCCAAGGATTAACGAGCTTAGTGCTTAATTATGCATGCTGTAACACTGTGGGAAAACTGACTTGGTTATTTTGCGTTTGATCGCAAATGTTGCGGTTAGCAAGAGTCGCCATCGGCTTTTCTTTTATCTAAAAGGAAAGGCTGAAAAGAACAGGAAAGACCTTTGAGATGTTTTCTTAAGTTCGGGGGTAGATTATGAGAAGGGAAGGTATTAGCATCCTTTTCATCCGTAGTTATCTACGGGCTCTTAGTTACTTGCTAGATCACTTGCTTTTGTTTGAAAACGTGCTTTGTGTGGTTTTTGAAAGTATTTTGAAAAGGCGCCATCGTTTAGAAAAACTTTGTAATGATTCTCGTTCGTAAGAATGTATACAAAGTGTTGATCTTTTGAAAATATTTTCAAGTTTGAAAGATGTTTTTGAAAGTGTTGCTGTTTGTTTTGAAAATAGCAAGAATGCTTTTTTAGTTTGAGAATGAGCAAGCAACTAGGAACATTCTACCTACTTAAAAGTCTTTCATGTTTATTTCCTCTTTCTTTTGACATTGTTATCTTACCATTGATATGGTAAGAAATCTTATCTTTGGATGTAAAAGGGACGAACATGGGTCATCGTATAATCATGATTAGCAATGTTGTAAGGTATCTTAGCATTTTCTTTAAGGGACTAAGATCATTTTTGAAAGACAGCTTTGATAGCGTCATCGAGGGACTATGATCTTGTATTTTTGCTTGTTTTTTCTAAGACACCTAACATGCATAATATGACCATTTTGGTAAGGCAACAAAGTGGATTTACCCTAAGGGTGTATGTGTGCAAGTGTATTGGTTTACATGCTTGATTTGTCTTGATTAGGATTTTCTATTTGTTGGTTTTAATCTTTCCATACAAACTCTAATTACTAGCATTTGTATATAAAGCATTAAATTGCGGAAAATAAAAATACTAAGCTATTACATCATTTAGGGGAGGGAGTGTACAAATTTACAAATGGGAAAATTGCAAGAAAATTAAATCTAAATAATTATTACAACCATATTGAATATTGTACAAAAAATAAATAAATAAAAATGCAAGAATGCAAAACGGAAAAAGAAATGATTTTTGTTTGTTTTTTATGAAAAGGTTTAGTCTTGACCTAATTAAAAATGATTAAGGAAAATTAAGCAAAATTAACCTAACCTAAATAAGAAAAGAAAATAACTAAAAAGGAGATTTTTTTGGGTTTTTTTTAATTTGATTAATTTAGTAAATAGAATTAATTAAATAAAAGTCTTAAGCTCTAAATTGATTTTAATTTACAAGAAAGT